CCCCACGATATTTCCCCCTAAATATTTCCGGCATCGTTGGTCACCGCATTCCTCTGTTATTCCCCTCCCTCACCCTAACCTGAAGCAGACCCAGAGGATAGCCGAACTCGTAGACGAGCAACGCCGAAGAGCAGAGCCCGAACTGCCCCGAAAGCCCCCCAAACTGGACAACAGCCTGGACAGGCGAAATATGTAGATGAGTCGTTGATGGAAGGATGACGAATCTTCCTACTGTCACACTGGACGATGATCCCCGCACCCCCAAGATGTCACGCAGATGACGAGAGCCGAGTGATGGCGAATAAGAAGGACGAGAGGAGCCGAAGACAGCCCAAATAAAGTCCGAAGATAACGGAAAGAGGAGAGAAGGACACTCGTCCCAACCGTCCCCGGTGTCCGCACGTGGTCGTGCGTTAAAAGTAGAGTAATTAGTAGAAGTCCCTATAAATACACTCTTTGGAGCAACACCCAGGAGTCCAGAGAGGGAACGGAGGCTTCGTTCATTATTAATTATCCCCGTGGAAGACCTGACCAGCGCGCCAGTGTTCTTCGCATAATTTGGCAATTGCCGTGAGTACAAGTTACCTTTCCCTTCCTCCCAGTGAAATTTTCCCTTACATTATTTCCCCCCAACGGTGAGCCAACAAACTGTTTTGCGCCTTTCATGATAATTGAGTATTTCACGTTACTGTAATTTTTCCTGAAGAATTCCCCCCGAGACTCCACTAGCTTCTTCCCTTTTTTTTTTATCCTTAGAATCATCCCCTGTGGCGTGTACAAAAGTAGTCTGGCCTTACCCATTCCCCTAGCTCATTATTAAAAGGCAATCAAGAAGTTGTTACGAATGAGTGTATTATTAATCACAGAATATATCCTATTTTGTTCATTAAATCCCTTCTTTGTCATCATTTATTCGATCATCCTAATCCCATTATAATTACTTTTATAATAAATAGCCGAAGGTACAATGTATGTGACAACGTTATTCTTCAATTGTTGGCTAATGAATCGATGGGATTTAATCATTTCTTCCTTAAATGTAGGTATTGTTGAGGTCTATCTCTCGACATTGATTAAAATTGAATTCATGTATTAGTTTCTAGAATTTTTTAGTTTTCTCAAAAATCGGTTGCCCGGGGACGAAAAGTGAAACGGGCCAAGATTGGGCTAGTACTGGTAGCCGTGACCCACACAATGCTCATTTTTAATAGTTGAAAAAATTAATTATGATTTAACCATCGAGTGGTCGTACCTCTCCACCAAACGTATCTGCTCGCGTGACGAGCGCTGCGACGTTCCGTATATTTTACCATTTTGAGAAAAAAAAAGTTCAAAAAAATGATGTATTTATGAGTAAACGAGTAACTTTGAACTTCCAACTAACAACTAATATTAGTATAAAACGAGAAAAGTGAAAACATTCAAAAATTGATTTCCATTCGGTGCGAAAATTTGACATTTAGAGGTTAAACACAGAGATTTTGACCGAGTCGAATTTTTAAGGAATTTTAATTTTTGATCGGTGTAAAGATGCACAGTAAAAAAATTGTTTAAATGTTTGACATGGTGGAAAACAGAAATTCCAATTTTTCAGATTTTTTCTCAACAACGTTTCAGCGTAAAAAATAAAAATCGAGACAGAACGGCGCTCGTGCCATGACGCGACCGATCGAGGGTTAATTTACATTCTTCGGCTGATCCTGCCTAAAGAAACCGATAACCGCTGATAATGATGACTGAAAAGTTGGACTCGTCGGGATTTAATCCTGGAACCTTCGGGTTGCTAGTCCTTGACTTTACCCACTCGGCCACCGTAGAGTTGTTAGTTACGAAGAAGTTCATGTGCTATATAAATGAAATATTGTATCCTTCTTTGATTCTCTAATTTTCTTTAATGATGAAACTCAATATAGATATGGTAAGCAGCCTATTTATTAACAATTCATAAATAATGAGATTACAGCATTACCAAGAATGGAAGTGAATGAATTTGTATTTATCAATATGGAAAATGAAGATCTTTTTTCTCTGCGATGATTTGTGGGAATTGACAATTGTTCATGCTTCTAATTATTTTCCCCGCTTGACCGTCATCATAATTTGACCCTTATAAGTGTTTGACCCTTAAGGTCTCGACTTTGAATCTCACATACCTTATGATCGATTGACCTTTAGCATCCGTTTACATGTTTTCGTGTATGATCCATTCGACCCCTACGATTATTCGACCTTTTGTAAAAGCTTCCAACCCTAACAAGTAGGTTTGGTATTGCCCCTATTTGACCCTTATGATCCTCGTGACCCTTGTGAGTGTTTGTTAGACAGTGACCCTAATGAGAGTTCGACTCTTCGGATCGGTTGACTGTCTTTCTTGTTTGACCCTTATCAAATCTCCGTGTCCGAAGTTTACCCAATTGTTGGCCGAGACTTGGCATTCGACGAATGGTCATTTGATGTTCAGCTGATATTGGGCCGTGAAGAGGTCGCCTAGACTTGGCGTGCCAGTCCAAAGCCGATGTTTGGCCGCGAGTAGACCGCCAAGACTTGGCATGCCGATTCCAGGCCGAGGCTTGGCCGATTCAACAGCATCGGCAATTCGGTCCCGGATGTGTAACTTGAAAATAACTAGGGAAAAAGAGCATATTGTGTTACTAGTGCATAAAGTTGCACTTTTTCACACGCATGTCTAACACATCCTACTTTTGTGGTACCTGTCCAATTCACTTTTCGGAACGGTAGTGGGGGTAATGTAGTTGATTTTGTGCACGCTCGCGAACTTTACGCACGTCGTGCGGAAAACAACTGCTTTATGCATGATAAACCGTTTCGAAACGTACACTTTTGAGGCAGGTGTCACAAAAAATATCTAAAATCATTGAATGAACGCTTAAAAAATTGTTTCGATGCCCCTCTGAGAGAGTTCGAAGATAAAGGCGATACCAATAATCGTTAATTCAATTTATAGAATGAGTTTCAAAAATTACGTATCTTCGAAAATGATAATTCCGGGGATATCTTCAGATATTATGCTTCAAATTAATTCGATCATAGTTTACATTATTTGGTTCACTGTCACTCTGTCAGAGTTAGAATATCATTACGATAGCTATATTCGTTGGTTTGATTTTTATGATGAGAGTTGAAAGTGAATTCTTCGATCGTTTTTCAAATATGATGTTTAAAATTCATTATGTATAAAAAAATTATGTATGAAAAAAGTTTCGTTAATCCAATGTTATTCAAGTTTCAAGATAATATAGATAGCATCATTCTTTCGTTTGATTTGTACAAGAATTTTTACAAGAAATCTGACACAATTGACCGAAGAAGAAATGTAATTTAATCCAACAAAATAATAGAAAATGATGAATGATATACGATAAAGGAAAATGATGTGCAAAACGACCATTCGAAAGCATATTGATGATTTATTTAAAGAATAGCCATGCTATATGAAGACAAAAGCCATTTTCTACTTGTAAATTAATTATTATCAATAATACTAGAGTCCCGATTCGGCACAAACTCAACCGGAATGTTTTTATCTCTATATCAACTTCCATTTAGAATTCGTTTCAGATTGCAATCTTCAAAATTCAATTTATATGATTACTACTTTAAATTGATGAGAGCAGGGGATTGAACCAAGTGAAAATAAAGAAACAAAGACAGCTTCTTTGTATTGATATTAAACGGATCATATGCTATATATATTCCATAATTGAGATACTAAGCAACATGGCACGCGCAAGTCAAATGTTATTTTTTCATTCACGTATGATAATCCATGAAAAACCATTATAGCTTGTGTTCGTTAGAAAAGATAAAGCATTTTTGAGCGATAACATTGTGTCAAGTCTGGGTCTCTCAAAGTAGTGGGGGGAGGATGAATAATAATACTGAAGAAACGCGTGCCGGGGAACAATTATCGGAATGAACTGATTAGTGGCCGCAATTGGTTTAGGTTTTTTCCAGAAACTGTACTCTGTTCGTACGATAACGGGGTATAACCGGGGTCTTTTCCGTGAGACTGGCATTATCGTTAAGTTTATTAGTTATTGAGGCTCATGGCTACCATGAATATGAACGAGTTAGACTTCTTGGAGTTGGATGAAGTTGCTTCTGAAAAGGTGAATTTTAAGAAGTTGTTTATTAGTCAATACAAAATGTCTATATTTTTATTAATTGATCATTGAATCATTGAATGTAAGAGAATTCGAAGATGAGTTGGGATACGTTATTTTCAATTATCTATAAAAAGTGAATCATTGATTATGAACTATTTGATTGAAATCGATTTTGGATAGATTATCAATTTTATTTCGCTATAATCCTTTCTTCACATTGTTGGAGGTTTGTTACTTAGTTTTGTACATCAATAGAGTAGTGTGCGTGGAAAGATAATTTGGGAAATCGAAATGAATGGTTGTTATAAAAATAGTGAAATTAATTAGTGAATAAATTCCAATCAGTATCAATGTTTTTTGTGATACGTAGTATCTGAATGCATTAATTTCCGTGGAAGGGTCCGTGAATTCAGATCCTTCAGTTCCTTGATTGAACTAATGTGATGTATTCGTTGTTGAAATTACGAACGAAATCATATTTTATCTATCACCAAAATTACGTTCTTTTCATGTTCGAAAATATTTTTTTTATGTATAGTCCATTGGCTAGCTACCATTTGGTGTACATTTTTGGGGTTACTAGTCGACTTGATGTTTTTTGATGTTTTTTTGGGCGTAGAATCTGAATATGAAGGTCGTTTCGACGAGAAGCGATGCAAACAAAAGTTATTAACAATTCAATTATTTATAAGATAATATGACGGAAGCGGTCGTAGATAGGAAAAAAAGTTTCAAACAAAAGATGTTTGATCTGTAAAAATACATATTTTTTATCTTGTAACTTTTTCTCCTAACTATCATAGATAAAAAGTTATCGGTGGTGGGTGACATGTTAGCACTTGCGCGAGATCTCGTCGCGTTCCGATGCGTCGGCTAACACAATAGAGATAGAAAAAAATACTTCAAATAAAAAATGTTTGTTATAAAATTTTACATATTATTAGTTACTTGGGTTTCTCCCCTACACGTGACCGTTGATGAAACATTAAGGCCCTTGTGCTCTATGAGGAGGCAAATTACCTAGAACCCTTTTGTTTATTGCAGTTTCGCGAAGAACGGTTCGAGATATGGAAAAATATCTCACATTCAAGTTATTCCTTCATAAAAAATGCATAGATTTAATTCGATCTTTTTTGTCCTATCTTCATTCTTTACAGAGATATAGTCCGTCGAGTAAATCTGCGGGCAGTCCACGCACTTACTATCCATACGTTGAACACGATCCTGAGCGTGGTGTTGGCTCAATTAGTTGGGCCATTAGTTTATTGCTCATATCTCGGAATCTGAACGACATATATGAAATTGACAAAAGAAAATAATTATAGTTCAGGTAGTGACAACAGTCAGTGACGCATTACAATGCTTCCATTCGGAAGCAAAAATGGAAAAACGAGAATAAAACTACATTGTTCGGGATGGGATGGTATTTTTTGGTGACTAGGTATCATCATGAGGAGTATTTTGAAAAAAAAACCAAATCCGTTGAATGGTTCATGAGATATCGGCAAAAAACGATTTTTAAAGAATCGCTATATCTCAAGAACTGCCCAACCAATCGAGCTGAAATTTAGGAGTTATGGGCACAGTTCGGGTCATATGAACACACATATCTACACACGTACCTACATATATACAGACATTCTTCAAAAATATCATTTGTTCACATTTCATGACATTCCTAGCCGTTTTTACACCCAAAATTAAGAATTCGAAAAAAAAGCACAAAGCTTCCATGCGGAAGTAAAACAAAAAGTTCCTATAGTTTTTGGAAACCAAAATTCACTTCCGTTGTACTTTGCCCCGCGTTCCACTTTGCTCCCCGTTTCAATTTGCCCCGCGTTCCATTTTGCCCCACCCTCCCCTAGATAATTTAGGATTTAGTAGAGAATATCTATTTTCTTTTGTCAATTTCATATATCTCGTTCAGATTCCAAGATATGAGCAATAAACTAATTGCATAACTAGTTGAGCCAACACCACGCTCAGGATCATGTTCAGCGTATGAATAGTAAGTGCGTGGACTGCCCGCGCTTTTACTTGACGGGCTACATCTCTGTAAAGAATGGAGATAGGATTAAATCTATGCATTTTTTATGAGGGAACAACGTGAATGCGAAATATTTTTCCATACCTCGAACCGTTTATTCACGAAACTGCAATAAACAAAAACGTTGTAGGTAACTTGCCTCCTCGTGGAGCCCAAGAGCGTTAATATATCATCAACGGTTACCTGTAGGGGGAAAATTCAAATAACTAGTAATATATAAAATTTTATAACAAACATTTTTCGCATCGGAACGCGACGAGATCTCGCGCGTGCTAACGCGCCGCCCACCACCGATAACTTTTTATATATTATAGTTAGGAGAAAAAGTTATAAAATGAAAAATATGTATTTTTACAGATCAAACATCTGTTGTTTGAAACTTTTCGCCATATCTATAACCGTTTCCGTAATATGATTTTATAAAAAATTAAATTGTCAATAACTTTTTCGCCACGGCGGGCGGAAAGGACACATTTTCCTCACGCTTAGCGGAAGAAAAATCTGCCTTTCCGCCCATACCGTGACGAAAAATAACGTTCTCACCACGGGAGGTAAAATAACGGACCCTTACCCACGTGCTTACCACCCTCGCCTTCGGCTCGGGTGGTAATTCTGCACGTGGGCACGACTCCTTTATTTTCCTTCCCTTGGTGGGAAATATAGTATTGTTTGCATCGGTTCCCGTCGAAACGGCATTCAAATTCGGATTCTACACTCCAAAAAACATCGAAAAACATCAAATCGACGAGTAACCCCAAAAATGTACACCAAATAGTAGCTAGCGAATGGACTATCGACTCTCCAATTCCTATGTGCTTCAAACGAATAAAAATGCAGATGAACGTATTCAAATAATTCCCATTTACATTCTTGTATTCATGCTTCGGAATTTTTACTTTGAATTCAATTGCTAATTCATTGACAACATAATTTTCATATTCAAACAGAGAATGGAAATGTAGGAAAAACCATTAACATTCCAGATGATTGTAACCCTACACGGAGAGAAATTTTTGATAAAAATTATCCTACCGTTCTATAATAGTGTATCATGAGTCATCGTTTCCTCATTTCTTACCCGAAATTTAGTAAAAATTGATATATGATGATCAAATTTTATTTTACGTTAAAGAAATTTTATCCTGATAAAAATAAAAATTACCGTGCCGGTAGAGTAAAAATTACTGTACCGGTAGGGCAAAATTTACCAACCGTTCTAGAATTTTCGTTGTTATCTACATAAAAACTATTGGACTGGAAGGGTAAAATTTATTATGCATCAGGATAAAATTTCTCTAACGTAGAATAAAATTTGATCACTATATATTAATTTTTACTAAATTTCGGGACAGAAATGAGGAAATGATGACTCATGATACACTTTTATAGAACGGTAGGATAATTTTTATCAGAAATTTCTCTCCGTGTATAGTGTTGAGTTTTGTTTGCAAATATTGCTATGCCTTGGTTTCAATGAAAAGAATCATGTAGTCTGAATTGAACTCTCCGAATAAGGAATCATTTGAAAAGTATATCTTAAAAATTTGCTCGATAATGTATAGATTTGAGCAGTACTTCCGGTTTCTTGAGAAAAATTCCAATACAGGAATTGCATGGCAAACATTTATAAAATAGAATATTTCGTTGTCGCACTGCCTTTCCGTACGAAGCATTTTCATCTACAATCCAGTCGAATTTTGCCAGATCAATTCTTATCAAAATATCCGACAATCAGACCTTTCGAGATATGATCAGATAAAAATGACTCTTAAACATTATTAACACTTGGATGTTTTGGGTGTCAAATACGCTCCGATAAAACAATAATAGAACATTAATCTCAATGAGGAAACGTTTATCTTTTCATAAATATTTTCATGATAAACAACTGACAGAAAATACGGGAAAATTATACGAAAGAATTTAACACGTGTTATAAAATACTGTCGCATAAATTATTGGAACTATGAAGCGCAAAGTTATGAGCACTGAATTACATACTACGTTAGGCATAAACGTATGCAATTTTGCCATGGTATGGGACCTTGTCCAGGGTTATAGTAGTAGTTAATTTTTCCAACTATTACACGTCACTCGGAGTAGCACGTAGGCTACTGTTTACGTGATTTCACCAAAAGAGAAAAGGGAAGAGAGACTTGCGATCATGAAGATTGTTGTTGATTATTGCTATTTCCACGCTCTGTGGTAATAATCCAGAGAAATACCGCGAACGTAATAAGCCAAACAACCTTCATCTTATTAATTTGCATTTCATTGAAATATGCAGATAACTTGAAGTCAATTGTTTTTTCATGATTGTTTTTTTTCTTCCATTCAGAGTGGAGGACGAATTCTTTTTGCCACTGATGATTGGTTTGCTGCGGCTGAGAATCTTTTGAAGGTAAAATCGCAATTTTTATCATTATTATTATCGTCGTAGAGAATGCGGAATACAAATTTGAAAATAATTTCATTGAATACTTGTGAGTAGCTCTGAAAAACTGATTAAAGATCTTTTTATAATACATTAGAGTACAAGGGCACAAATTTCGTTTTCAACGAATGTGTGTACAGACCTCGCCTTCGGCTCGGCCTGTAAACTACACATTCGTTGAAAACGAAATTTATTACCGAGTGCTCTATAATATTTTATGTCAAGTCGTGCAGAAGTCGAGTTTTGAGCAGGCTGCGCGAAGCGCAGCGTGCGATAAACTCGACTTATTGCACGGCGCGACATAAACTCCTAAACTATTTCTTGGTCAAAAGAAGGTCGATAGTCAGTGGTTCTCCTCGGAAATTTATCCAACTCTACAACTGATTTGGAACGTTTTAGCAGATTTAGAATAACTGCAATTTCATCTGAATCATGATTTGAGGAACTTTATGGAGCAATGTAAAATAATAGAATACGAAAAATCAGAGGCCGCTCCATCGCTCGCTCTTGTTACGTACCGAGCTGGTTCCCAGAAATGTAGATGGCAGGTCCGTTGCCCGTGGAGTGCTGAACCACTCTGCTTACAAGTGCGGGAATTTGGATAGGTAGTTTTCAAATAAATTGAACCACACAATTATTTAGGTGAATACGGCATATTGATTATATTATTTGTTTGATATATTTGGTTTTGTTTAACAACAGAAGAGTTTGATTGTAGAAATATCTGATCAGTTTGACGTTCAAGACGTATCTGCTTCTTAACGCTACTCTCAAAATCACTCCAACTTCAAATACGATACGCAAAAAGGGGGATCAATCACGTTGGCTCAAGCAAACTATAATATACATTTTAGTGAATATGGTGACTAACCTAGGGATCCTACGTCGCTACTAGCAGTTTACGCGACACTTTCCCTCTTAATCAAAAAAGGTGTTTCCTAATGAAACAGCTTTTTTTATTTTCAACTCTCATCATCATTACTGATTATTATTATTACACAGTATAAAGCACAGTATCATATTACTTATCATCAATGAAATACGATGTTTTTCTTATCCTAATCATCCTTTTCTTCAATGGTATCGGGAGAAACAAAAGCTAATTTCAGTTTAGTTGTATGTACAATCTTTCTTTTAACTTTATCGAGAGCGATCTCCGCATTTGACTTCCCGTGCATACGTACTATCTGGTAGGGCCCCATCCAACTATAATCGAACTTTGATGTTTTGGGTTCTTTCTTTAAATAAACATGATCGCCTACATGGAATTCCCGTGGATTTACATTTTTTTCGTAGTACATTTTACTCCTCTCTTTAGCCTTTTCCAAGTTTTCCGTTGCTGTCGCTTGACTGGTAGTTATCCTAACAAAAAGATCATCGAGATATTGGACGAATGTCTGAGGCACCTTTTCTTTCGCCAATTCCGAAGGAATAATTGCTTCAACACCAAATACGAGCTGATGAGAAGTAAAACCTGTAGCTTCATGGACTGAAGTATTATAAGCAAACATCCCGAAACGGATCCAATCATTCCAATTATTCTTCTTACAATAATGCTTCAAATAATCCACGAATACACAATGAGCACGCTCCAATGAACCTAACTTTTCGGGAAGGAAGGCAGTAGATGTAATCCTTTGGATTCGACTGATTTTGCAAACATTTTTCATGACTTGACTGACGAAATTACTCCTTGATCGGTGTGGATAGTCCTCGGTCATCCAAAACGACTGATGAACTGTTCGGCGGGAGCGGAAGCGACGGAGACTGAATCAATCGAGGATAGAGGAATTGCGTCTGAATATTTCGTCAAGTTATCCTGGATAGTCAACAAATAACGATTGTTTTTATCTGTTTTTGGGAGAGGTCCTACGATATCGATTTGGATTTTCTCAAAAGCTCTTTTAGGAGTATCCGTAATATGCATCGGCTGTTTAGTTGCTCTAGCGAGGATTTTGTTCCTTTGACAACTGTCACAAGAACGGATGACGTCAGCAATTTGTTTACCCATCTTAGGCCAATAATAACTTTCACGGATACTACGATAAACGTTTGTAACATCTCGATGTCCACCTGCTACTGAATCATGATACTCTCTAATAATTTTTTCTCATTCAGAAAGAGGAGTTTTGATTTCACCTGTACAAACCATTATCACAAACTCAGAACTATTAAAAATATTTTTCAGAAGAGCTCCTACTTCCAACCATTCGAATGAACTCAATTCCGGATCATTTGCTGCGATACTGAATTTTTTCTCAATATTATTATCCAAAATCAACCTTTTCAGAGATTTGAGAGCACTTTCAAGGCCTTCCAGTGTCGAATTACTATCAGATTTTTCGCGAGTAACCAAATGAAAAACGAGATGTTCTTTATCAGTGCGATAAGTCACTGCATCACCTAACCGAATAACATTATTTTTCTATTTTTCCAAAGAGAAGAAATTCTTATCAAGCAATTCCAAACCTATTGGGGATGTGATATTGAAATCGAGATCAATAAAATTGATTAAATTGTCTTTTCGCATGTAGAGGTGATCCTTGGGATGGAAAATAGTGGGAAATGGTTTCGGGGGTACCGTTTGTTTGTCCAGTTCGACTTGATTTTGTTTAGTTACTAAAATATCTCCAAAATTATTTTCGTCAAAATCTGACTCGATCTCTACAAAATCTGCTGACGCCATCCCTAATCTGCATCGATTTTGATGATGTTCCGCAGCGTTTCCCTCGTTGGTGGAGTCTGCGGCATCCGCCTGAACCGGAGTCCTCTTCCTGGGATACTCGTTGTCAGCGAACAGGATGGACTGCTCGACAGAGGGTCCACGTTTCACTCCCCTGGCCGGTGCCTGAAGCGATGTCCTGGAGATAACATCGTTAGCCAACCGACTCCCGAACCAGGGTGAGCTACCAGGCGATGAACACGATTCCATCGAACCTACTCTCTCTTCCTCTGAGACAAGTGTCGTATCATGAATAATTTCTTCATCCTCGGCTGCAGTGAAGTATTCGTCATCGTCACTCGACTCGTTCCCGACCTCATTGCAATCAGGCACAATGATCCCGCGCGCAAGGAACAAAGCACCAATCAACTCTTCACACTCATAAAAATCTTTGTTTGCATCAGAAAGCTCATCCTCACTGAAACTTAGAGTCGATAATTCATCTGCGCAGCCGAAAATCTCCTCTAAATCCCTGGGATATAAAACTCCTTCATTTATCTCTTCTGTCAAGTAGATTTCAGTTTCAGGTGGGAAAAGGTTATGAAGGTCGATGGGGTTGCGCGAGAGTGCATCGGCATTAGAATTAATTTTCCCAGGTTTGTATTGGATGTTATAATCATATTCGTTGAGACGAATTCGCCAACGCATTAATTTCGATGTGGGATCCTTTGCGTTATGCAACCAAACTAAGGGGCGATGATCGATGATAAGGGTGAATTGGTGTCCGTAAAAATACGGACGGAAATGTTCGATACCAAAGATTATCGCTAATAATTCCTTCTTCGTCGTTGAATAATCAACTTCAGCATCCTTCAAGGTCCTCGAAGCAATTCTCGAAGCAATATACAATTAGAAGATCTTTGTCGATTGATCCCTGACTCAACACTACGCCAATCGCGAAATTCGAAGCGTCTGTTGTGACGAGAAATGGTTCCGAGAACTTCGGGAACTGGAGGAGCGGCTCTGAACAAAGAATATCCCGTAATTTTTCAAATGAGTCTTGAGCTGAGTGATTCCAAATGAATGCATTTCCCTTCTTCAACAATCGAGTGAGGGGTTTGGCTATTTCAGCCATGTCCTTGCTGAAACGCCTAGGGTATCCGACAAGACCGAGGAACTGTTTTACATTTTTCCGCGTTTTTGGAAGAGAAAAATTCTTCACGGCTCTGACCTTATCAGGGTCAGGCTTTACGCCTTTATCAGTAATTTCATGGCAAAGATAAATCAATTCTCGACGGAGGAAATGACATTTGTCTGGCTGAAGGGTTAAATTAGCGTCCCGTAAACGAGCTAACAAAGTTTTGAGTTTGCGCGCATGCTCTTCCAATGAACTAGCATAGATGACAATGTCATCCATGTAAACAAAGAGTTCAACACCTTGAAAACCTGATAGGACCATATCCATCATGCGCTGGGATGTGGCTGGAGCATGTTTTAAACCAAAGGGCATTTTATTAAATTGAAAGAAACCGAACGGGGTGGAAAAAGCAGTTTTGTGTTTTGATTTTTCATCCACCGGGATTTGATGAAACCGGGAAGCCAAATTTAACGTAGTGAAATATTTCGCTCCACCGAGTTGGTCCAATATATCAGTGATATTTTGGAGTGGATATGCGTCACTGATTGTCTTTTCATTTAAAGCTCTATAATCGATAACCATACGCCAGCATGGTTTTCCAGAAGAGTCGGCCTTCTTTGGGACTATCCACACTGGTGAATTGTATGGAGACGTCGAGGGAGAGATGACGTCATTTTTCAACAAACCGTCGACTTGCTTTTGAATGTCATTTCGATGCATGGGTGGAAAACGATACTGCTTGGTGTTTACAGGGACCTTGTCTGTTGTAAACAAAGCGTGTCTGGCAGCGAATGTTGATCCTAAGTGGTCGCCGGGGAGAAAGAATTGATATGGGAATTGACAGATTATTTCCAAGACGCTGGCCTTTTCGGCTTCGTTCAAATCGGATAATTTCAAAACGTTAATCAATTGAGAAATTCCGTGTGCGACCGTTTTTGAATTCGAGTTGATAGGATCGTTAGTGCGAGTACCTTCACAAGCAGGGGGTAAAGTCTCAAAATCTTCTAATTCTACGGGGGACAGAGTGAGAGTAATATAGCTAATAGTGGTATTAATTGCGAAGACTGTGGCAATTCCATCCGTTTGCACAGCCAATACCTCGCCTAAGAAAACTCCGGATCCAGTATTTATTCGACCAATGTAACCAGATGTTTTGTCAATATTTTT